ATTTACATAGTTGTTATCATCTTTGTAAACATCTTATAAATAAGAAAAATGGTAAACATTTTTTGCCAACCTTTTTGGAAACATCACGACGACATGATTATCCACTACTTATCTTTGGAAACGATCAAATACCAATAATTAATCTAATCAACAATCCCTGGACTAGGCTTCGCATAATAAATACAGATCACAATTCTGTTGAAGCTGATTCCAGCTTAAGTGTTTTGCAAGATGAATTAGTAGTAAATCATAATATAATGGAAAAAAGAAGAGAAAAGTACACTTACTACAAAAAAAAATTTAATGCTGCATTAGAACTATACCAACAAGAGATGGATAATGATAACTTCGTAAAAAATTTTGATGCATTGATGGTACCATTATTGAAAGAGATCGAAGAATGCGAAGCAGCATTACAAGCCCATAAACAGCAAGCTACCTGGAAATCCAAAGGAAAACTTGCTATTTGGTTACGTTAGTTAAAGGCCTGGCTTATAAAAAAATTAAGGTTATAATATAATTGGTTTTACAATGGTAAAAATTCGAATAACACTTCCCTTATTCAGTTAGATCAAAAACCAATTACAATTCATACAGCGAAGCGTGAGCATTTTGTGTAAGTTTCAAATTTTTGATGTAAGTTACGTGTAAGTTACATGTAAGTTACAATATGTATCTTAGTGTAAGTTTGTGAAATCGTGTAAGTTATTATGTAAGTTACAATGTAACTTACAAAATTTGCCCATCCCTAAATATATGTCGAGTTTGTACAGTACCTAAAAAAAAGATATTTATTAACTGTACATACTAATTATATAAATTATATAAGCGATGTTTTTTTTTACCTCCAATAAAATAACCCACTGAATTTAACCTATTTATAACGACAATCTGTTATAAAGATCAATTATATATTTAATTATTAAAACCGTTTTTAACTGTAAAACCAAAGTATTATTTGTCCAACATTGTAATTTTTCGTTGTAGGGAAAGAATAGAGTAGAATGGGTAACTTGTCATATGTGTAAGAAAAAACTGAATTTAAAAACTACTAAGTTTTACAACTAATTAATTTTTCACCTTACAAACTGTAACGATTGAAAAAAACTTTATCGTAATCGATCATCAGACATGTGTAATAAAATTAACCGTGAATCTAATTGGATAGAATCGGATGATCATCGCCACGTGACCCGAATTTTCTTCGCCATGGCTAGGGTACTATACAAATATGAGAATTTTTAGTGCAGTTGTTAATAACATGGCTGCACAATAATAGTTATTATTATCTCTAACCAATCACAATCAATATGTCTATCATGTGATTTCCCTCTGCTTTAGACGTCCCCCTTATTTGGGACGTTCCTACCTGTAGATTTTACTAGTTTTGGGGGTCGTCTAAAGCCAGGCGTGTTCACGTGACCAACAGCCAATCAAATAATAAAATTTGATTTACCCGATCAGCCCGACGAGACAAAAACAAAGAAAAAAAGTGAAAACCACAAAAAATAAAGAAAATGAGTGTCTAAACCTACCTCGGGGCACTAATAAAAAATGTCGGGAAGGCAATTTTACCT